ATATCGATATATTTTTGTCAAATTTTTATGATATATTCAAACATATATTTTATTCAAAAATAAAAACATCATCGTTTTCTCAAAATCACATAAAGTCATATTATAACATCGACTGAGATAAAGAATAAAATAAAATATTAAAATCACTATATATCTCGCTGTATTATACGAGTACGTTTCTAATATATATATATATATATATATATATATATATATATATATATATATATATACACACACACACAATGATATTAACATAATAAAAAAAAGCTAAAAACACCTTAATAACCGTTACATTAATTGATCTAATAAATATGTTTAAGCAGGACTACAACAACATTTTTTAATTAAAAAAACTTATCCCTGTTTCTTATTCAAAAATAAATGAAAATTAAACAAAATTCGAACGAAATAAATTATACCAAAAAAATTCATATTTTTCTCGTAATTTAATATTCATATTAATGTACTTTTAATTTGTTTTTTCATAAATTTTTATTTTTCATTTATTTACCATTTTCCCCTGAAACCAACCACACGATGTAACTTACGGTTTTTCCATTGAAAGTTAAACTTTTTAGAATCCAACATTTGCCACATTTTTTATGAAATTGTAAACCGTCAATAGTTATTGTATCAACTTTCATGATAGCATTCAGTTCATTGTTGACGTTTGCAGATTATAAAAAATACTTGAGGTAGTGTTTGGTACGCAGACTGGACTGGACGGGACGGGACGGGACATGACTAATTGTATGTCCCATGTTTGGTACGACTAGGACAACACAGGACAAAACTGTTAAAATGACCATATTACCCTTAAATGTTGTTCAATGTTATTTTATATCAAAAAAAAATTCCAAACGAACGGAATCAAGATCATTTCTATAGCATCAAAACGGGTTTCTGTAAAGAAATGTTTGCTGAAATGCAAATTACGTTTTTGGAAGATTATATGATTTATGGGAACTGGTTTTTATTGATTTTTGTGTAATATTCAAAGAGAATAGAAGAAGAAGCATAAGAAACTACACGAAAACACAGTCTCTGTGGGCATTTTTGGAAATATATAATTAATTATTTTTTTATAATAATTATATAATTAATTATTTTTTATAAATTGTGGAAGAGACGGGTCAATGAAGGAGGCTGTGGTAATTAGGTTTTCTATTGGAAACAAGGGTATTATAGTCAATTGATATTTAGTCCCATGTTGTTCCACCTATTTTGGTGGAACAAAAACCATTAAGTTTTGTCCCATGAAATTTAAAAATAGTCTCATCTTGTCCCATGTATTTTTTTGTCCATAGCATGCCAAACATGGGACTGTTTTTTTTTTGTCTCGTCCCGTCCCATGTAGTCTGCATACCAAACGCACCCTGAAAGTTAATCCGTTTAGTGGGAATCCCAGTTTATTCGTTTCGATGGGGACAAAGATTTTCCGTAAGATCGGAAACCGGGGACGGGATGTTAATCCCCGTATTCGTTAGGGCCGGGGGCTGTTACTAAAAACCAGAGTCGAGGATTACAAAACCCGCCCCATTGGCATTGCCTTGCCCCAAAAGGTACATAAGCTTTTTTTTGTGAAAACCCTTAATTGAAAAAACAAAAAATAGAAGAACAATACACATTTGACCAATCCCTTTCCATTTCCAATGTTCAATACTTGCATACATAATTTCATATGAAAGATTACAATAAATGATCTCAATCTTATTGGAATTTTCTTCATTTCTTATCGTTCATCGAGTTTTAGCAGCATTCCTACGAATGCCGTTGGAGACGGAGGTTGCTGGATTGATTGCCTTTCTGATCTTGACGACATTCCAAGCAGTGCCCGCAACATGCCCTGCAGTCGCAAGCACATTGCCCGTTGCTTCCCCTGCGCTTTCGCCAAACCTGTTTTCGACATTGTAAATTAAATGCATGTACATCAAAGTACGTTCTCTTTAAAGTGGTATACAAACCTAAAGGCACCAGTAATCTACATGTTCTAGACTCAGTGCCATACAGTCCTACAGCACCAAAACCACGAGGGTTTTTAGAAACAATCTTAAGGTATGTTTGTTAGCAGTTTAACGATCTTAATGAGACTCATAGTTTATTCAGACAGCTATGCATGGTTGTTCGATAGTGGCTTAATGATATAGATAATGATCTATTCATTAAGCTTTTAGATAAAACTTTATACAGAAAGCCAAGTTTTTTTCCAAATCTGTCTCTCCCAATTAAAAAACATGCTACTTTTATCTATGAAAAAACAACCTTCATACAGACAAATTTATATACATAAACAACTGTATCCATATAGGATTTTATTGGAGACCAATCAAACAACCCCTTACTGACTTGGAGAGTCGTTGATTATGATTATTGACTTCTCTATTTTTTTTTTTTGTTAAGGGGTAGGTGTCTAGACCAACTTGCACGCACCTCAACTAATGTTCAGGGCCCTAAAAACATCTAGAAAAATCCCCGATGGCCTTAAAAGACGAACTCTATGGAGGAGCCTGAAATCAAAAGCAGCATTATTGACGGTCGATCTAATAACTTGGAAACATTTAAGAAGAAAAAGTTGCAAACGGATTAAAGAACGAGGGTGGGACCCATCTGTATGGTCCACATTTGGTGACGTCTGAACCTTTGACTTTTTGAAAAACTGAGCAGTATCAGTAACCCAGATACTGTTATGCCAATGACTCGTTGGTAGAACGGTTTTTTGGCATTCTAAAAAGCAATAACCATTACAAGGATTATACCTTTCACTGACCATCCGAGTTGCAGCACCAGATGTGGCTGATAAGGTTTGTTTTTGAGCAGCTTCAGCTGCATCCATCACTGTGTCTGCAGATATCCAAGAAAATTAACCCCTCGTCAACACTTTCAAGTTTCTTGCATACCCGACGAGCCGTTTTCCTAACAGTGTATTCGGGATACTGCTCGATTTCGACCTTTCTGTATGTGAGTTTTGTAGTGTGTGTGTGTATATATATATATATATAAGGTCAGGTTGGAAAAACCGCCAAAAAATGAAAATTTGAGGAATACTATAGTAACCATTCATTTGTACTGTATGCAAATCTGCATACAACTAAATAAGTAATTTTTCTAGTATGCACATGTGCATAAAAACCAGGAAACATCTTCATTCACTTGTAATCACATGTGCATAAAAACTAGAATACATATTCACTTACTTTTGTATGTATATTTGCATACGGTACAGATGAACGGTTATTAAGGTGTTTTTCAGTTTTTCAGTTTTATTGAGGCTTTCCCCTAAATATGCATATATATATTTATATATACATACATACATATATATATATATATACACATGCATACATACACATAGAAAAGAAATGAGAACTTGTATTATACTACTTACTAAGTGCATCAAGAGAAGCTAGGAGGACCTCCCCCGGAACCATGCTAAAAAACGCCTTCCCAGCTTGAGACCGAACCATCGGTCCCATGACCGATCCCGTTGCTATCCCGACACCGTTCAGCATTGCTTTACTCATGCTTTCGGTCATTTTAGAAAGCTTTCGTACACTAAATACATGCACATATTTTCGAATGAGAAGAGAGAAGATTTAAGCGTCAATTACTACAACAAAATAGGTTCACTGCAACAAAATTGGGTTTATAAGAAGCAAAAAAATATAAGCGTTCTAAGAGTTTCTTTTATAGAAATTAAGTTTATATGATCAGATAAAAAAAGGTCATATCTAAAAGTGTTTCTTTGGGCATCGTAACAAGTTCTTAAAACATTGTTAAAATAAAATGTCGTATTAACTATTTTACATGACACAATTTGAAAAAATGTACTATAAAAAGATGTGTTTATAGATCAATTCTCAATAATGTCCTATAACATAGCTAATACGACACTTTGTTGAAAAATGTTCTAAAAATCCTGATAAAACACTCAAAAACCGTCGTATAAGCTTATAGTAACACTTTAAGATAGAACGAATTATTATTTGGTCTTATAAACGTAAATTCTAGGCACTTCAGATATATTTAACGTCCTATAAACCCGATTTTATAGTGGTTTTCTAGTACTAGATTGTCCATTGTTATGTCGTCTAATTTCATTCTAACAGCTTATTACAACATCAAACACAGTCTAGAACGGAATTTTTAATACGACACCTTTTTAAACTTTTGTTGATTCCGTTCTCGTTTCTCGAACCATCGATCTTCTTGCTTTCGGTATTATTTCTCGAGACGCCATTGATTTCGTCCGCGGGCTGTGATAAAATCGTCTTACCTCCCTTTTGCACCTGTTTTGCATGATCCCAAATTATTGAATCTTGTAATATAAATATTTAAGACATTTATTATTTATATATATTTGACGTCGTATAAAACCAATTAAGAACATTGATTAATAACGAAAACGAACCTGGTTCGTATACGCATTGCTACATATAAAGATCCCTTTAACAATCTGACCGGTTCCTCCAGCGATCGCCTTCGCTAGAAAGTTATTGTAAGCATCGACCTTGGGAGCGAATTCTTTCCAATCGATATCCGTCTTTCTTGACGACGAACTCGAAAAGCATGAATGTTCCTTCAAGAACTTATCCAACAACCTCAAATTATTCTCACCAGAAAAGCTCACTCCATAGCTCAACGGATCGTCGTTCTTGATCACCGGCAACGAGAACAAGTAGTGAAGATGGTCGAGCTTGACGACCGGTTCGTCTTTGGTCAACGGCCATTGAAGATCGTCGCCAACTTTGATGATGTTGGCGAGTAGGGTTTCTTCGTCGGAGATTTGGATGATGGTGAAATCTCCTGCGGCAAGTTCGACTGCTTCCCCTTCGTCCATTAGATGAACTTTGGAGGAAGGTATGGAAAGGAGGATTTCATGTTTGACGTTTTTCGGTTGCGGGTGGTGGTTCATGGCGGTCGGCGACTGCGGTGGCAGTGGTGGTGGTGGTGGTGGAGTTCTGGGAGGAGAGAGTGTTCTTGGTTTCTTGGTTCCACAACAGCTCATTATGTTAGTGTTGAATCTTGTGCTTTTGTGTTCCTAATGATGATGTTGAAGCTAGTGTCATGTGTGTTTTTTGTAATAGGAAGAATAGGAGGGAGAGGGAAGGGTGAGGGTAAAAAGGGAAATTTGTGTTTCTTGCAAGAATAATAGTAGGAAGTAGGAGTGCTCAAAAACCCGATTAACCCGATCAACATGATCAACCCAACCCAATACGAAATAATTCAATCCGAAGTAACTCGATTGTCTAATTGAGTTGTAAAATTGTCAAACCATATTACCTAGGTTGATATTGGGTTACTATTATTTGAACATAACCCAACCCGATGAACCCGATATCCTTTTTATTTCTTGGATTTATATGATTGTTGAATTTCTATTAGTATATACATTAACAATTACACTGTCATGTATGCTTTCATATACACATATTTTCAATCTATTCATATCTTTATATAACTCATTCGTATATATGTTCAGTAAATGTGAACATATATATGTGAATTGAGAAAATTAACTGAATGTGATATTCGTAAGAAGTATGGATAAGTTGTATCAAATGGTTGATTATGAAAAAGAAATTGTGAATAGAGAAATAACATATTCTAGGTTAAAAGAATATTTTAATGTACCAAAGTATTAACCCGACCAACCCGTACGAGTTGGGTTGGGTTGGGCTGCACTTTGGTTCGGGTTGGGTTGGATTAAGATTTTTTAAACCGCAAGAATTAAATTAAGTTGTTCAAATGTCTTCAATCCGATCAAACCAACCCATGAACACCCCTAGACAGGAGGGGGAGGGTGGGTGAAAAGGGAAATTTTGTATTTTTAAGAAGAACAAGGGGTAAAAGGGGAATTTTGACAAGAAGGGAGGGAATTAAGGCTTTAATTGATGCTTTTGTCATACAACTTTATCTTATTCTTAACTTTGGCATATTTAACTTTCGGTGAGAGAAAGATGAAGTGAGAAAAATGGTATTTAGGTAAATTAACACCGAGTGTTTCGATAAGATTTTGCCGGGACAAAATGTTTTAGATTATTGGTACAGTTCTTTTTCGTTTTTCCATTTTCTTCGTTCATTTTTACATTAACATGTTGTACATTCGACTTCTAATGTACAACATGCTAATGCAAATAATGGATGAAGAATAAAGATCCATAAGATATTGACTCAGAAAAAAGGCGATTTCGACACTGTTTTCCTCTTCAAATGCTTATCTTAAAGGCATCTTGTTCCCTATTCATGTGGCAATACGTTCTAGATCATCTGTTCAGATACCAATGTCTCATCTGTCAATTCGACAAAGGCAAATCCTTAGACAAGGGTTTCTTCGATATCACACATATTTTGTTCTTCTTTATCGTCTTCAATTCAAAAAGGATCAGATTCTTAACTCTACACATATAAAACCGTTTAATATTTTGATTTAAAAGAGAATAACTTCGTTAATATTACTATATAATAAGATACAATTGAAACTGCGTTGTGAAGACAACTGAAATGGTAGCAAAAACCCCTTTACTCAGACACACATATATTTACATATAAAAATATACTATTACTAGCAGTAATTAAAGAACAATTACAGGTTTCGTCATCTTTTATCCGAAAATATCCACTCAATTCAACGATACATAATATAAATATATAAAACATTTAATTTATTTGAAGTATTCAAAACTGTAACTAATTAAAGCGATTTTTTAATCAAAATTTAATTAAAAAAAAACATCTTACATTTCATCCGATGGTCATACAAGGGCATGTCTATTAGCATCTTAGGAGGTGTTTGGGATTGCTTATTTAAAACAACTTATGTTTTTCTATAAAAACACTTATCAACTTATTATAAGTTATAGGGCAAAATGCATAAAATAGCAATCTACTTTTATAAATTTCTTTATTATAGCATTGTACTTTCAATTTTTCTTATTACAACAATGTACTTTCAAATTATTTTTTATTAGGACATTGTACTTTGAAAAATTTACCCATTATAGCATTGGGTAACCTTTTGATTTAAATTTACCCATTATACTAGGTTTTCATGCCACCTCATTGTCCATGTAGGCTGTCTACATGTACTATAGTGATGTGACTTTTTTACTACATCATTGTACTTTCAAAATTATTTTATTATAGCATCTACTAGTTCTTATTAAACACTGTATTTTTAATTTTAATATTTAGATATTTTACATGTTTTTTTAATAAATGTATTAAATGAATTAAAAAAATTCTAAATTATTCATTAATATACCAATATCAATAAAACTAGTAGAACACAACTTATCTCGCTAATATTTAAAAAAAATGTGTTTTTTGAAAAAAGGAAAATAAGAATTTAAATTTTTAACAAAAAATATTATCTTTACTTGACGAATATATTATATTTGTTTAAAAACTTTTACTTGACGTATAAATTAATTAGATTTTTTTGAAGTATTTATTAATATAACAATATTAAAAAATTGTAGATAACAATTTATTTCGTTAATATTTTAAAGAGAACTTTAAAAGATATGTATTTATTTGAACAACATAAAATAGGAAAAGTTGTCTTTTTTACAAATAAAATATATCTCGAAAATAATGTTGCATATTTATTTAATAAATATTTTACTCTAAGAATATTTAATTTGAATGCAACCTAAAAAGAAAAAGTAAAAAAAAAATTAAATGTTTTTTTAGATAATAGCAATGAAAAATGAAAATAACTAATAATAATTTGAAATATGTTTTTATTTTAATTTTAGTTAAGTCATCAAAATGATGTATCATCCACATCACCTCATTAAAGCCATACAAGTAAAAAAGTCAAAGGGTTAACCGGTTTAAAAGGTAACAGGTTATCCATTGCTATTATGGGTAGATTTTTTAAAGTACAATGTCTTAATAAAAAATAATTTGAAAGTACATTGTTGTAATAAAGAAAAACAAAAGTAGAATGCTATAATAAGAAATTTTGTGAAAGTAGTTTGCTATTTCATGCATTTAACCCTAAGTTATAAGAGTTTTAACTTCTTCAAAAACTCCTCATTACCGGTTTGGCACCGGTATAAGTTGTTTATCCAAACACTCAAAAGTGTTTATTACCAGTGTCACACCGTAAYAAGTCAATAAGTTATTTTTATAAGCAATCTCAAACACCCTCTTAATAGACTTAATAGGACTCAACTTATTCGGTCAGCTATACATGACTATTTAATAGTAACTTAATGATATAGAAAGAGGTTTATCCGGTAAACTTTTAAAGAAGCTTTATACAGAAAACCAAATTCTACCCCCACCAAATTAAAGAACAAGCTCTTCCCATCTATAATAAAAACTTTCTTAATTTATCTATACAAACATATTAATCCAAACAGACCAACCAAACAACCCTTAAATTAGCATAATAATTGAAAATGGCTGCAAAAAAACTGTAATGCAAATCTGTGTCACTTTCCTTTGACAAAATGAGTCTTACATGAGGACTTGTAATAGTAGTAGTTCCTTTAAATTACACAACAATTAAATTTACAAGTTACAAAACCAACCCAAACTACACCTGAAGAATCAATCAATTGAATTTAATTTTTCTTTTTTTTTTCTTTTTTTTTTTGGTTGCAAAATGGATGAAAAGAATGGAATGGCTGCTAGTTCATGGATGAATAACAAATTAACAATACCTGGTAACTTCTTGTTCTCCTAAAACCCAATATAGAATTAATCACAAGCAATCTGAAACGACCCGAAACTACACATCGTACTTCTTTGGTTGCCGCCAGTGAGCCAAACTTCTCGACAAAGAACCAAGGATCGAGATCTTGCTTTGGGCTCCTTTCCTACCGTATAAACGCTTTGCTGCCAAATCTGAAAATTTCTTGCCTTTCTCCATTGTTCGTTCGATCTAACACCAAAATAGCAAAAATAACCCATCATGGATTTCATTTAATCTAAAGATCAAATCTATTATAATTTGTATATCTTGTTTGTATAGATAACTAAATATTTGTTTCCGTTCACTGGAATAGCATCTCATTTCTTCTATAATAACTAAACAAACCCAGTGTATCCCACTCAAAAGCAAGGTTGGGGTGGGATGAACGGATATGCCCTTTACCCCAAAGGGTAGAGCGGTCATTTCCGTGAAGATCCCGCACCTTGTGCAAAAGTACGAGTGGAAAGAAAAAATAACCAAGGCCTATAAATACTTCCAACAAGGGGTGGCAATTCTGTACCAAACCAAACTAGCCAACATTTATACCAACTGTACCAATTAAATTTGTATCCATTACAGTTGGTTGGTAGTATTGTAACAAGTATGCAAACTTGGTTGTTACACGGTGTTGGAACTCCTATACCCAGTACCATGGTACCGACTTATTTAATTATTCATTAGTTTGGGTTGGATTCTGGTGAGAATGAAAGTTATGGTGAGAAGAGAAGAAGAGATCTCCACACTAAGATCAATCCTAATTGAAGAGAACCACTAGATCAACACTAATGAGATACACTAGATCAATTTCCTTCTAAAGCACGATCATTGGTTGTTTTAGGATTAAAAGTGATCAAGAGTCCAAACCTCTTCTTGCACTTCTCACCTTAACACTTATTCTCACACGATCCTTTGTCTTTTGTATTTTTTATACATCAAATATTAAACATTATAACTTTAACTATTTTGTTTGAACATTTGAATGTTAGCAAGTTCTATTCTTTACATTTAGAAACTCGTAAACATCACATATGGTACCTGAAAATTCAAAATGCAACTCAAAATTTGAACAAAATGACAAGTTTTTATATATTAACCTGAAGTTGGTAAAAAACCAATACCAATTAAGTTGGTACCAAGTACATTTGGTTGGTACATGGTACAGGATTTTGTGTACCAATTATAATTGGTTGTTACACGGTATTGGGGGAAAAAACTTAGTACCGTACCAAATCCACCCCTACTTCCTCCATCCCAAAACAAGTGTCTATATTTCTATTTTTTAGTTTGTTCCATAATAATATTCAACTTTCAAAAGTAACACCTACTTTCCAATGCTACCCTTGAATATGAGATGAATAAAATCCATTACTACCTCTATTATTAAAGGTAAAATTGTCATTTAGTCCACTACAAAGTTTAATAGTTACACATTTCTAAAACTGTATGCCCTTTTCATTGTAGACATTTATTTTGGGACAGAGGGAGAGGTAACCATGGGCATAAAAGAAAATAGGCACCGGTAAAAAGAAACACCTATCTGCCCATTAGCATTACAAGATATTCCTGATATTTATTTTAGAGCCTATTTGTTAGCAACTCAATGAGCTTAATGAGACTCGAAGCTTATTCGGTCTGCTATACTTGACTAATTGGTAGTGGCTTAATAATATAAAAAAGTAAATTATTCAGTAAGCTTCTAGGGGAGATTTATGCAGAAAGCCATGTTTTTTCTCCAAACCTTCGCCTTCCAATTAAAAAACACGTACCTATCTATGAAGAAACTCTCCCAGACAAAAACTTTCTCAATCTATACAGACAAATTAATCCACACAGACAACTTCATTCATATAGGACATGATGGAAGACAACCAAACAGGCCTTAGTCCTCAATTTTTCTAAATTTTGTCTTATTCAGGCATTTAATTATTAATAAAAAAAACTCAAGAAACTATTCGTCCAGTTAAATACTTCCTTTTTTAGAAAGGGGATTAAACTTTTAAGAATAACTATGAATCATATATCTTAAATACCCCCAATAATAATGAAAAAACAGAGTAATATAATGGATCAAATCTAGACCATGAACATTTTGCAACCATCATTAATGGGAAAAAGAGGTAATTTTGGACTGGAACTTGGCCACAAAAACATTGTTTTTATTATTTTTGGGAATACCCAAAAGGTTGCACCTGTTTTTGGACGGAGGGAGTAATAGATACAAGTGTGTGTGTGTGTGTGTGGTGTTTACATGTGAATGTGAGCATTATTTTCGAAGAACAATTAAAGGGATTATCAAGAATCTCACCTTGTGTATTTTCCCATTCCTCAAATGGTATCGGATACCAGACCAGTTGATGGACTGAGAAAAATGTGAGCGAATTGCTGAAATCGGGTATAAGAAGTTATCCACCACCATTGCAACAAAAACCTGATCATATTAGATTTGACCAATCAATATAAATGAGGCTCATGATTGACTCTTGCACACCCTCTTAGGGTAAAAAAAAGCTAATTAATTATAATGATAAATAAATAGAAGAGCTTTGCAAGAACAAAACCAAAGCAAATGGACCCAGTTAAATCTCATGCAGGGGTAGGGTCTTTTTTTGGGTTTTTTTTTGGGTGGGGGTAGAGAGGTTGTTTACATGAAGACCTCTGGCTTGCAGAACAATATTTAAAAGAAACAAGAGAGCAAGCTACATGTGAAAATGAGTGCAAACAAGCAATACAACCAAACCAGATGAACCCAGTGTATCCCGCCCAAAGGTGGGACCCGGGGAGGACAAGATGTACACAGACCTAGTGTCTACCCCCAAAGCGAGCAGTTGTTTACGTGAAGATCTACGACTCGTGAAAAGTGTTCTATTAAGATAAAATCTTGAAAAGTTGACTAAGAGTAAGCAATAACATACAAACAGAAGCAGGTACAAGAAAAGCATAACCAAAATGCATCAAGAATTTGGGATGGCAAAAGGCTGTTGACATCTCTATCAGGAATAGATGTAAAGGAAACACAAGGCGGCGTAAGAGGGGATATAGATGAGTTCAAAGGTCAAATAAATGCATCGCAAAATCGTCAAAGAAAGAGAATTTGGCTTATAAGATGAGTTATAACAACTTACCAAACACCAATTATAAGCACTAAGTGAAAGCGGTGGTGCCTCAGGAGACAACATGTTACATAGCCGAACTTCTATTCTTGTCAAATTCCACATTGAAAGAAGTTCAATGCCGGTGCATATGACTAGGCAGCCAACAAGTATCAACCCTGGCAAAAAACCATTAGAAAACATGTTAACAACATAAACTGCAACTGCATAAGTAAATTGTTTCATTTTGATTTATTCATAATCATAGGAAATATCAACAAGGGTCGGATTCCAGTGAGAATAAGAGCTATCAGCTATGGTGAGAAGGTGAGACCAAAACCTTTATATATCTTCATATACATTCAACTACCATTATTTATCTTTTTTTTATCATCATGACCGAAAATTTATCAAATTCATGCATGTTAGAAATTTGAAAATAAAGGTAAATGAATATAGTTGAAAGTAATTGAATCTAATTGAAGGTAGAATCGATGAATGTAGTTGAAACAAAATTAAGTTAGATCAAAAAGTCAACTCATCCACTAGCTCAGAGGTGTTCTCACCATTCTCACCATAACTCTTATTCTCACACGATCCTTCGTCATATCAACAACTGTGCAATTGTGAAGTCCATAAACATAAATTCACTGTCACTTCCTTACATGAAACAAAAAAAAATGAAACCAAACAAGCCCAGTAGAGCTGACCTACCACCAACCAAAAAGGTAGAGCCGCAGTTTCTATGAAGACCCCCGGCTTGCGCGTAAAAAAATTGTGAAAAAAGAACATAAAAAGAAATCGCAAAAGAACTTGAAACAAGAAAGACAGTGCTGAAACTTGAACCCCGAAAAACGAGTTGGAAGCAAGCAACCAAAATTCAAACAAAGAAAACATACAAATGGAAGCAAGTACACGAAAACAGAACCAAGGTAGGAAGGACTACACATCCCTAGTCTAACCTAGGATTCAAGGGGTCTGACCGTAAGAAAAGATAAGGTTACCTTTAGGATTGAGAACAGGTTCTTCGGCTATATTGTCCTTCAAACGAAATCCTAGTGCTGCCACAAGATGAAATATAGCCATGATATATGGGGATACGAATCCCCAAGATAGGTAGCAATGCACAGAAAATAATGCCCGATTCATTATCCAGTTTATATTTGTTGTGTATGACTCCAAGACGAACGTTTGTTTTCTCAAATAGTTCCAGTACCTACACAAAGGCATATAAAAGATCAAATTCAGTAACTTGGGGTTGTTGGTCTTAAATCGCTGTTCTCTACCACACTTGATCAACTATGTATAATCAGACAAAGGTGGGTTCAAATGAAAACCGTTAATATTTTGAAAACCTGAAACCATCTATTCATGATGAATATCGTGACATATATTCATGATGAATATCATGAATAATGAAAATCATGATATTCAAGATGGATTATATATATACATATATATATATATATATATATATATATATATATATATATTTGAAATCTAGGGTTATTCATAATGAGTAATTCATGAAATAGTTGGTTCTCCGGTTGTCAAAATATTTACGGTTCTCATATGAACTTTCCCTTATTCAGACCTTGCAAAAGTAAGATCACTGGCAAGAGGATGAGGGAAAACTGCAACAGGAGGTGATGTGATGAGCCTCTTATGAGCACCTGGAAAAAGGATACTGATATAAGCAATTGAAAGTGGTAAAACAGGGCATATAGAATGGCAAGTGTAGTAGATTTGGCGCCAATATAAACCGTACCACATTCAGAAAATAAAGATTGAAGAATCATACTCCCTCCATCCCAAAAATAAGTGTCCACATTTCTATTTTAGTTTGTCCAAAAACAAGTGTCCACATTTCTATTTTAGTTTGTCCAAAAACAAGTGTCCACTTCCAAAACGAATGCGTACTTTCCAATTCTACCCTTGATTATGAGATGGTGAAATTCATTACTCCCTTTATCATTAATTTAAGGGTGAAATTGTCATTTACTTAATTAAAAGTGTAATAATTACATATTTCTGAAATTGTGTGTATTTTTTATTGTGGACATTTATTTTGGACTGAGGGAGTAACATGTTTTCCTGGATAATGTATGCTTCAAATAGCACAACTCTTGCTAAAGAAACTCAGCAACAGAATTAGCAATAGATAGACAAACAATATAAAAATGCATTACCTGCTATAGCCGCAAGAGTCATATCATCCGAGTATCCACCATCACGAAGCTCTGATACGACACCATGTTTGTCAGTTCTGAAATCATCTGCATGCATCTGCAAAAGAAAGCCAAAAAATCACATAGATCAATAAACAAAAGGACCTTCTATTACAAGCATTAGGAAGTCAAAATAAGGGTGAAAGCTTCTTGCCATCATGCAGCCTCCCCAAAGAAAGAATGTCCTTCCACCAGTTGCAAATCCCATTGAACATGGCTGTACAGAAAATGATATTAGTTGAAGAGGCAAAATTTAAGCAACTTAAGGGTGCGTTTGGTATCAAAACAAGACAGGACAAAACAGAACAGTTGTTCAGCGTTTGGTAAGACAGAAGGGGACAAGACAGAATTGATAAAATAACCAATTTACCCTTAATGAGTTGTTTATATCTTTTACATTTTGATTCATTTATGTAACTTATTAGATTATAATAAAATAAATATTTTTATAACAAAATAGAAAGTTTTCTTCAAGACAATTAAAATGACACCAAAACAAAAGGTTTATGTAGTTTCCAATTTTTGATTAATACTTTTTCTATATTATTTTTTATTATTAATATTTAATAAACTATATAAATGAACCAAAATATAGAAACCATATAAAAATAATATGTTGAGGGAAATAAAGTCAAAGTTCAAAGAGCATAAAATACAATAAATAAGATTTAAAGAATGAGTAAAATGTAAAGAGGGAAGCGTATTTGATGTTTTAGATGAGAAAGGTTTTATTTTGAGGTTACATTAGTAAAATATAGGTCAGTTCCACCCTGATCCATGGAGTGGGGGTGGAACACGCCTGTTCCACTCTGCTCCTGTTTGTTCCACATAAAAGTCCGGCCAAACAAGAAACAATGATCCCTATTATGTTCTATCCTTTGTACCAAATGCACCCTTAAGGTTCTCAATGTAAACAAATTAAACCAAGGCAACCCAGAAAAAACATGTCATTAATAAAAAAGAAAACTATTAAGCATCTGTAGACACAAATACAAAGCATATGGGAAAGCCATAGTCCTTCGACATGCTTTACCATGTGATATTCATAAATACAGTAACTTCCCAAACTTCCAGACGGTAAATCAAGTGGGTAGCCAGTTTGAATAAATATCTGCATAAATTAACTGCCGAGTTAAGACAAGTAGAGATTTGAAGACAAGAAAAAGGGAAAACATTAGAATCAAGAACTAAGTACCATCTATCAGTAGATGGGAGGAAGGTGCATCAGCAGGATTATACCTCAGGATTCTTTTCCATCTCTGCAGTGAGAGCACCAACTGATCCAGGATGCAGCCTAACATCATCATCTAGAAACAATACATACTTGCTGCCTTTATGCATTTTTTCTACCCCAACCTGCCATTCAAAACGTGTTACAAAATGAGTATTATCTAATGGTATCTTAGGAAACAACTAATTAACATGATTCCTGCAAGCATCCTACATGTGCACAATATAATCTATCCTTAAGTAACTTCAATGTCGCCAAGAAAAAAAATTCAGAAGTTGACTTAGAGCATACCAACTGGTTATGAATTTTTTGACTACACGTTGTGGATGGGCCAGCTACAACTATTCTTGCATCAACATCATCCTGCACATATAAATAAGTAAGGAAGAGAATATAAACTGAATAAGCTAAAAGCCAGCTAAAGACTTTTGAGGGGTATATGGATTGTTGTTATATCCAGATGTAGAACAGCAAAGGTAGTGCGATAAAGCCAGGGAAAAGAAGTTGCCATTTGGAAACCATCAAAACTTTATCATATCTGTTTGACAAAGATGCCTCTTTATCATATGACAGCAAAGGCTATGTAACAAAGCCAAGGGACAGAAGTTGTCGTTTGAAACCCTCAAAACTTTACCATATAACTGTATTAAATTTGGTTAAGTACAGTAAAGAGAATAGAGAAGTTGCTATAGAAGAGCCTATGACTTATGATTAAGCTTAAAGATGTTTCTGAAAGGACCACTCCCAGTTTATCTCAACAAAAACTTGTATATAGTTTATAATTTGATATATCCAGAAAGCAAAGTTTTTAGCATACTGGAAGTTGAAATCGATTGAGAATCCCATACCTTTACTTCTAAACAGACAAAGACGGAATTGCAATAACCAGTACAGAAAAACTATATAAAAAAAAAAGATGTTATTTATGCAGACTATTGAATGTACCTTAAAATCTAGAAGCAAACGAGATACAGCATGATAAGCTGGGTCATCAGTACTATCCACAACAAATAGGAACTCCAAGGGGCCACCGTAAAGGGAAGTCAACTGCATGTGGTAATCCGTATCACTAACCATGATGAGTACTAATAAACACCCATAAATAATTGAATAAAAAAATGTAAAACTTGAAAGTAAAGAAGTCGTAAAATAACAAATAAGCACCTCTCCTAGAGGGGGGGCATTCAAGTTACCAACGGAGATAGTTGGACCTAGTAATATTACATCGATAGAGGGGGGATGATTAAGCACTGTACAATCATAGGGATGGGAGAGATCTAATCACCTAGGTCGGTGACAGTGGCATGAGCAAAAAGACTGCTTGGGTTCTCATTAGTACCAATACTATTTCACCTTTCCACATGTGCAGCAAAGATTACCAAAGATTGCTTCTTGGGTAATTTACCCCCTTTCTGGTTGGAAAATATACGTATTTTCACCAACAAAGTAACAAGCCCCAAGCAGCTCAGCTTAGCTAATTTTAGCTCTTTAAAACTTGGTTTAGTGGTTTATGAATGACTAAGACTAAGCAGATTCAAGTGGCCTTTTGTGGAATCATTTATAAAGCTACTCAAAGCCACTTGTCTTGTACGGCCATCAAATAGTAGCATTTATAATAGATCTAAATGGATGACAGAAGTATTGCAGCTTGAAAGAAGGAATGAGGCAGTGGCGAAAACTAGCCAGCAGCAGGCTAGCAGTCAAATATAGAACCTATAATTTGATGCTCATGATTAGAAAAAGACGAAATCAGGTGTCAATCCAAAAATCCAGAAAAAACTTTTTGGAGTACCCATCTGTGAGGCGTGATTCTTCCAAGATTCCACCAAACAGTATGTGACCAAAAACATGTTAGATATGAAAAACTGTCTTTTTCTTCTCTAGCTGAAATCAGGGTGCTTAACATCCCAAGCTCGAAATTGCTCAAATATGTCTCAACTCTCAACAATTCTTTAGATTGACTTGAGATCAATCAGATGTGATATTGATTATGCTCATTTGTAGTATTAGTAACACTAAACAGATTGATGTTGTGCCTTCTAAAGGTTAATAAAATGATATTTAATTGAAGCATATGATGATTGATGACCTCAACTTTAATCAAACATGAAAGATGGACGTACATTGAAGGTAAGCAGCATTAATTTTTGTACAGCTGTTAATACACTCGATCTTGCCCAACTATCGCATAGATGGGTTGAGCAGATACTTTGATAAAAGTGTTTGGCTATTTGTCTATTACTCAAATATCATAATACCCTTAAATAATGAAAAATAAGAGAATCTTGTGTATAAAACTCGATGCTATCAATATGTTGTAATAATAGTCAATGGGTAAATGGTAATCTTAATTGGATCTTTGCAAGAAACTTTGCATTTATTTTGGGACATGCCAATAAAGAAATTGCTGAAATTATTTAGGAATGAAGGGATAAATTTCATTTATTCATCAGAAGAGACATTTCAAGGAAGGCATGTGATCTTTTACATTGCGTCAATGTCGATGTTCTCTATGTATGGGTGGCATGCACATACAAAAAAACTAGAAAAACAATGTCCAAATATATGAAGACCTTGTATTCCTCATGTGGAACAATTACATAGAACATATTTTGTATGATACCTGGGTTCTCCAATTGTGCAGATTGTGTTCTCCGAAACCTTTCAAGGGCATTACAACTGTGACCCCTGGCAATTGGATCTGTTTTGAATGTTCGAGGTCATGAATATCATGACTAAGAAACGGAAAGTCGTTGCCTTCTTTCATACATTTCTTCATCTGTCTTATTTCTCTGTTTCTGCAAGAGAGAGAATAGTTTGATCTGAGGTTTTAGTAACATAAGCAATACAAAGAACGTATCTTGTAGCAAATGCCACAAAAACTAGGTTAAGGAAACCTGTTTGATACCTCACATAAGCTGCACCGGCCCATCCAGCAGCCAGAAGTAAGCATATTACACATCCCTGCAGCATGAACATTTCCTAATATCAAAAAATATCATGCTAACATGACAAATGACATAGTAAAACCCAAAAGAAGACCAACAACTTAGACTTCATGACCGTTATATAAGATTTCACCAGAAATTCAATATTGCAGAAACTGCCCTAGGCAATATAATCTGACAACCTATGAACAGAAGGCATACACCTCCAGAAACCACCATCACCAACCTATGGCTAACGATTAGTCTTAAAACAGTTTGAAAATGAAGCATAGTCACCAATTATTACTTTTGCTATATGCATTTGCAGTGATATTAAATTCAGTTGTTCAACAGAAAAAAAAACACAAACCATAGCTTATCAATCCATAGATATGTGATGAAGGGTGCTTCTACACTGTATGACGATGGAACAACTTTCTTAATTCCAAGTACAGCCGTAGCTGTGTACAACAAAGCATCAATTATGGACCCCCTCTTCTACCATCTACATTGACTTTATAACAAAAGCAAATATCCTAATAAGCAATTCAAAGGACCTAAATTCAAGTATAGCATTTCAAAAATTTATTCAGATACGTTTGCATTTAAATCTTGCAGTCGTTTACTAACAAGGGATAAAGGTCGTGCAAGAACTCCGGAAAAATTTAAGACGAATTTAACATTATTGCAGCCAATCACTGAACATATAACCACCATTAACCTTATCCACTAAAACCCTACTTCCAATGAACCTGCTGTGCAGTTGTTGATATACAAAGTTATAAATCAAAAGATTCTAACCAAAATCCACATCTCAAAGGGAACTTGTCACAGTGTTAATTTATTCCTTAAGACCAGCAAGAGAGAAATGATAATCAGGCAAAACATGCAAAGAAGCTTAAAGTGCAAACTTTTTGAAATCTCTAAGCAACAAACAAGTCAATTTGGCAGAAAACTTGCTCCCTTCGCTCAAGGGAAAATAAACAACATATCGTTTTATATTTTGGTCTCGTAGACTAACTTTTCACTCCAAGATTCATTATTTGAACCTCAAAAAAAGTCAGTAACTGCATTAAACCTTATTAGAAAAACCACAAATATAAACAGGTAGACATTTAGTTCGAAAAAGTATCCAAATCGCCGTTGGTTTTAAAAAGTACTCATTTGCATCTAGTACATATTCGTTCTGCAAGTTAAAACCAACTTTTCTAATCGTAGAACACTGAAAACACTAAATTGCAAAAGAAGTATTTCTAACAATTAAGCCATTAACTCATACAGTTAGCAATTTCGAGTTAAATCCAAGTTTCTCGAACGAAGAAGGCACCTAAATACCACGTCTAGCTTACACAAAAATTCACAATAAAGACATCAAACATTATATGCAAGTATAAGTTATCTCCACCAGATCCATGGAGCACAGAGTTAAAATCAAACTGTAACACTGAACTAAAAGTTAAACCAAAAAAAAAACATTATCTTGATAAGATCGTAAGATACACGAATATACAAAATCCGAACCTGGATCTGAATAAAAACGGCAAAAGGACTACACAAGGCTCTGCTGGCGGAGAAAAACAGCGCATGAATGGAGTCGAAAGACCAAATGATCTCCGTCATAACTAATAACGGAGAAAATGAATCCAGTAAGCGTAGAGTGAAATCAATGGAGGAAGAAATTTGAAAAGAAATGCAAATAATTTATAGTTTATGCCCCTTTCTCTCTCAAATCGCCATGATCGAAGAGGAAGAAAGGACAGTGATAGAGGAGAGAGAAAGGGTAAAAAGTGGAGACCGCCTAATTTATATTTTCAAAGGACAGGGTGGGATTGGGGAAAAAGGATCCGTCACACCTTCAACGATGTGGTGTGGTGGGTCCATATTATTAAAAACAAACCATTCTTATAATTTGATGAAATATATACATCTATATTGTATTATAAAAGTATTTGATAAAAATTTTAAAAAATATTTTTCATGCATGAAGTATTGTTTATTAATACATATTATTTAAAATTCAATATTACAAGTAAATTATGTATAAATACAATTTATTAAAGCTTAATGTTTAATTTATGTAACTAACTGCAGATAAATATAATCAAATATTAAATATAAAAAATCTAAAATATAATTAGAATAATCATTGAATTCTAAAACAAAATGTTTAATTATTATTTTTATAAAAAAAATTATATTGTTAAACCTAAATCAAATTACTTTGTTACGTTAAAAAAATTGCATAAGACAAAGAACTTTCAAAAAGTTAATTTCATACTGATATTGATATAGTTTTTTCAAATTTTTATGATATTTTATTCAAAAATAAAAACATTATCGTCTTCTCAAAACCACATAAAACCGTTTTATATCGATATAGATAAAAGAATAAAACGAAGAGTTGAAATAGGAATGTGTTTTGATGCATTGCACGAGTATCATTTCTAGTATGTATGTGTGTGTGTGTGTGTGTATATGGGGAAAAGTTAATTTCATACCAATGTAATTCACTTTGTCTTTTAACCAAAAAAAGCATGTTGCTTTTAATGTTTTTATTTTTTATGTAAAAAAACGTTTTAGACGTTTTCTTTTCAAAAAATGACTTTTTGAAAAAATTACATTTTCTTTTGGAATAAAACAAATGACCAAAGGGGCTTTTGGTCTAGTGGTACATGAGTTATTCGGTCTCCTAGCAAGTCAGGAGTTTAAACCTTATAAAAAATGAGGAAGGTTTAGAACTTTTGCGGTGCAGTTTGCAGTTTTTGCATTTTTATCAAATTGCATTATGTGGTGCAGTTTGCGGTTTTGAGTTATCAAACCGCGGATAAACCGCATCACATCGTATATTTTGTATATTTTTTAATTTTATACATAACACTCACGGACACAGACACGCATATTGTATATGGCAAAATGCACAAAATAGCAATCTACTTTCATAATTTTCTTTATTATAGCATTCTACTTTCAGTTTTTCTTATTACAACAATGTAGTTTCAAAATATTTTTTATTAGGGCATTGTACTTTCAAAATTATTTTATTATAACATCTATTAGTTCTTATTAAACACTGTATTTTTTATTTTGATATTTAGATATTTTACATGTTATTTAATAAATATATTAAATGAATTAAAAAAATAAATTATTCATTAATATACCAATATTAATAAAACTAGTAGAACACAACTTATTATGCTAATATTTTTAAAAAAATATGTGTTTTTTGAAAAAAAGAAAATAAAAATTGTTCATTTTTTACCAAAAAATATTATCTTTTATAAAATATATTATATTTGTTCAAAAACTTTTACTTGACGATTAATTTTATTTTTTTGAATTATTTATTAATATAACAATATTAAAAAATTGTAGATCACAATTTACTTCGTTAACATTTTAAAGAGAACTTTAAATACATACACCTTTTTATGTATGTGTGTAGTTGAATAAAATGTTCATGTCCCTTCTTATGCTTCTCACCTTGACTCATTCTCACACGATCCTTCATGCGTATGTGTGTATGTGTGTGTGTGTGTGTATATATATATATATATATATAATGGGTTTAATCTTTGAGAACCCTATATATGATAAAAAAAAATGTGAAAACTATTTTTGTAAGGTATTATTTCACATGATTTTTCTCTCTAAGAACATCTTCAACAAATTCTCCAAAATAGAGAAACTATGAGAGAGAGATTATGAAAGTATTTAAAGTTGGAGATTTCTCCAAATATGATTACTTTTTAAAAAATAAATGATTTTATTCATAATGAGATTACCTGGAAAAAAAAATTGTTTAGGAGAGATAAATAATATTTTATGAGTTATGCTAAATGTTTTAATGATGTATTAACTGTGTAATCTTTAAAATAAATAATCTGTTGGAGATGAAGGTAATTTTTTTCAAGGATTTTGACTTTTTAGTTTTCTATTTTGAAGAATTTGTTGGAGATGCTCTAAAACTACAATTCAATCTATTGTTTGACAACGTGAAACTTTTTAGTTGTATTTTTTTTTTTACAAACATTTAAAAATGTTCACATTGTATAACAAATATATGTTGATGGATACAGTAAATCTAACTGGTAGATGGAAAAAAATCATGTAAAATAACACATGTTGCACCGGTTCTCAAAGTTATCACAATTTTACGGGTTCTCAAATGAAGGCCTCCTTCAAATTCACGATTATGTTGTACTAAGACTAGAAGTGTGAACCATTTGGGTTGAGGCACACTAATTAAACCTTAGGGGATGTAATGGAAAATATTATCAGCCTCGGGTTCGAATTCATGCACTGTCAAAACCCTTGTGTTTATAGGGGTTCACATGTGATGACACTAGGCCATTCGTGGTCACAGAGGATTAATCTGTATGCATAAGCTGGCCCAAAAAACACACAGCTTACTCACGAAAAAAAAATTAGAAGTGTGCCCCTATAATGGTTTTTATTTATTTATAGATTTGTACAGTTTTGAAATAATAAAGTCTTTTATGAAATCTCGTAAAATACCAACATTACCCTTATAGATTTTCAGATATAATGTTTATGGGATTTCATTAAAATCTCGGTTCCAATTATGCGTTTGATTTTTTGAAACTTTTATGATATGTTTGTTTTGTAAGATTTGAAATTAATTTTCATTCCAGTTATACGTTTGATTTGAAAGAAAGTACGGCTTTGAAATCCATGGTTTTCAATACACCCAATGGATTTAGAATTTCCACACGAGAAGCTAATATTTTATGGGATTTCATATAATTTGTTTGTAATAATGTTTTAAAATATATAAAAACATTCATTTTGTAATAATCAGTTAATAAAAAATAAACTAATTATCTATAGTTGTTTTAATAAATTATTTATGCAGTATTGAATTTAATTTCATTAAAAATTCTACAAACAAAATTGTATTTATTTTATTTTAATCCATTAAATATTACATTGCATTAAAACTTTAGTTATTATTTTTAATAAAATATATAATAGTGAAGAAATATTTTTATTTATTTAATTATTATTTTTACAAAAAATTATATTATTAAACCAAAAATTGTATTTGGTTATGTTTATCTGCAGTTTGTTGCACAAATTTAAAAATTGAGCTTTAATAAGTTGTATTTACGTATAATTTACTTGTAATCTTAAATTTTAAGTAATATGCATTAATAAACAGTATTTCATGCATAAAAATTGGTTTTTAAGAATTTTTGTAAAATGTTTTATAATAATTAGAAGGGTATTCGCGCAATGCAGCAAGATACATTCTAATTTAATATTTCATTCTATTTTTTTATCTCAGTCGATGTTATAGTATGGTCTTATGTGATTTTGAAAAAGCGATGATGTTTTTATTTTTGAATAAAATATAAATTTAAAGATATCATAAAAATTTGACAAAAAAATATCGATATTAGTATCAAATTAACTATTTAAAATTCCTATTTTTTGTGTAATTTTTTAATTTAATTTTTTTATTATAATTTAATTTAGGTTCAATAACAAAGTAATTTATATTTTGTTTAATAATATAATTTTATGATAAAGAGAATAATTAATTATTTTGTTAGAACTCGATAATTATCCTAATTATATATTAGATTTTTTATATTTTAAAATGAGATGTTTATTCTTTATTTGGTTATGTCTATCCGCAGTTAATTATACGAACTCAAACATGGAGCTTTAATGAGTTGTACTTATGCATAATTTACTTGTAATTTTTAATTTTAAGTAATATGCATCAATATACAGTATTTTATGCATAAAAATGATTTTTAAGAATTTTTGTCAAATATTTTATAATATAATATAGATATAGATGATATTAAGTATGTATATCTGAAATCATTTTTTCATTATTAAAAAAAAGAAAATAAATTATTCAAAATAAAAAGAATATTGTGTTTTTTTTATTCTTCCGAAAAACAAAATATTATCAAATCCTATGTGAAACAACATTGGGAGGTTGAAACGTGTGTTTCGTAATGTTGGTGGATGACGTGGCACGTGACGATTGATGGAATAAAGACGGGTCTTGACTATGAAGATGCTATTTATTATTCGAATCTTCCTTTTTCGCCGACTTTTTTCCATTTAAAATTTTAATCAACAGAATCTCTTCATCTATTGATTTATAACTAGAAGAGTACTCGTTAGAGGTGGTCAAAAATCGGTTTCGGATCGGGTTTTAATCGGTTACGGCCGGTTTCGATTAAGACAAAAACTGGTAATAACCGGTCCTGGTTCCGATGAAATCTCTCATAACCGGTCAAGCTTACCGGTAACCGGTTAAGCCGTCCGGTCCCATAACCGGTTACGGCCGGTCCTTTGCAAAAAAAAAATATTTTTATTTTTTATTTTTTTTCAAATTTTTGGTAATTAATAAATTTATAATATGTTATTTTTAATATGTTTTATTATAAATATGTTTTATAAATACGTTTTGTTATATATATATATATATATATATATATATACATACACGTTTTGTTATATACGTTTAATTTTATAAATACGTTTTATTATAAATACATTTAAGAATACACTTTAAAAATACGGCTCACTCAAATACACTTTAAAAGTACGTTTTATTATGATTAAAGTGACATTGTTTTACAAAGCTCAAACTATAAAATTATTTGAAAATACATTTATTTATCAATTTTCATCGGTATCACATGTCAGATTGACTTGAAGAGTTCCGGTCTCTTGA